TTTTTACTATATTTATAACACATTTGGTTTGAGTTTTAATTATATTTAATAATTTTTATATAAATGATAGTTTTAAATAAGTAAAAAAAATCAAATAGATTAAATTGACTTAAATTTATAAGATAAATGACTAAAATAAATATTTTAAAATATAAAAGACCAAAATAAATCTATAAAATAAAATAAAAGATCAAAAGTATAATTTATCTTTTAATTTTTTATAACTAAAAAATTTTGTTCCCTTATCTATTTTTATAAAGATTAGAAACTAAAATTTATGCAATTACAAATAAATTAAAAGTAGATCTTATAACTATAAAAACTAAAAATAAATAAAATGGCATGTATAAAAAATAAAATAAAATATTTTAAATTATAATGATTAAAAATAAAAATTTAGAAACCTATTAAGATAAAAAAAAATATACTTTACCCAAGCAAATGTTTTAACTTTTGATAGGTTCCTTAATAAATAAATAAATAAACAACTTTTGACAGGTAAATTTCATTCATAGACCTAGTTCGTATAAAGTTTTCTTTTTTGGTGTAATAAATTAAAATCATTAGAGACAAAAAGTTTGTAATCATTTTAACTATAATTCTTAAATTATTATTATAATAAAAGTTAATAATTTTATAAAATATAATAATTTATAATTGAATGATAGTGTAAAAATATTTTAATTTATAATGCATAACAATAAAATTTATTTTTTTAACCAATTTCCTTTTTAAAGAAATGTTTATGTTATTTTATTTTATTTTGAAACTATCATATTTGCTCTACAAAAATGAAAATACATTGGTTTTTTCCTTTATTTTAAAAATTAATTGTCATCTTTTTTTCACAAATAAAATGATTATATTGTAACGTATTTACAACAAAAACAAAATTTATTATTAATGATAAACACATATACATATTTTGTTAAGAATAAGATAAACAATCCATAATTTTTTTGAAAATTTTTAAAGAAGTTAATGATTGACTTTGATCTTACATAGAATTGTGTCTCATCTTAATCTAAACTTTTCCAACTACCAAACAAAATATAAACATTGTCAGAATATAAGAGAGTCTTACATCATTAAATCGTAAGGAGAAATAAATATATAAAACATACATAATTTTCATTATTATGAGACTTTTTTAGAAAATATCTAAAAATAAAATCATGAATTTTTTTTTATAAAAAAAACAATATCATAACAATGTCGTGTCAGCCCCAAGTAGCCAACAAATATATGTTTTTAGTTTACTTTATTGTTAGCTTGAATAGGAGAACATTTTTATTATCAATTTTAAGAATTTCAAAATGAAATAATATTTTAAATATAATTTTAAAATTGATAATAAAAGTGTTTAATTTTCAAAATGAAAAATACTTTCAGAACTGAAAATTAATAAATAAATAAATAAATAAATGTCGTTGAAGAGTTCATTCATATTGCTTACAATATTAAAAATAAAAAAATTTCTCATATAAATAAACCACGCTCATGCTTTAGCAAACTGCCTAAATCAGATTGCCCAAGTTCACCAAGGAACTTAATGAAAAGAAACTCATAAGAGATAATTTTATTTATGATATCTTTCTTATTGCTCATTGCAACTTCAGCGTCAACATCGGCTGTTTGTAAGTATACCCTTGCTAGTTCGAACCTGGGGAGCACTAGTAGCTTTACCTCTTCTTGACCAAATATTATGATTCGTAAAGTTTTCTACATTGCTTTTACACACTTCCAAGGATTTCCATATCAAGCTGCAGGGTCCTGTTCTCTTTCATAATATTCAAAACTGCTTCTAGTGGCATTGACCAAATGATTGACTCTATCTGATGTGATGCGAGAGAGATGCTAAATGTGCACTTGTTTACGATATCTTGAACTATTTCATTGAGCAAGGACCCTTGGTCATCACAAAATTTATCAGTCAGCAGCTGTGCCTGTGATCTATACACATATTGCTTTTCTTCATCAGATAGAGAATCCACAGCAATTTCCTCAACAATTTTGATTTGGACATCGTTGTTGCCAGGCATACTTTTCCTCAACAGGCAGAAAAATGTTCTCCAAATTGAAATTTCCAGCTCCAGCAATAAAAGTATCTGCAACACTTCCATCGTCTGAGATACCGAGTATACATTCAGATTCCGATTCAGATTCTTTATGCATTATAATAGCTTCAGCTGTACTCTTCTCATCATGAGATGCAGTGGCTGTATGTACAACCCAGATGGAAAATGCTTTTCAAATGCATTGTCAATTGTCATGACCAGGTGGAAATGGTGAAGAAAAAGTATCAGGTGAATTATGGAATTGCTGCATTTTAGTCTCTAAAACAGCTTCCACAGCTGGCAAACAAGAAGCCCCGGAAAATATTCTGTCAAGGTTTCATCACATTTGACAACTGATCCACCTATGCTGGTAATAGAACCTGGCTTAGAGTCACACAATTTGTTTTCACCATCCAATATCGTAGGCAAATATGATGTTTTAGTTCCAAAAGGGTTACTCAGTATTCCAATTGCTTCCTCTTTTGATGGACTCTCCCTTTCTTCCTTATAACATAAAGAAACCATGTTTTCCAGCATCCAAGGTGTCAAGGGAATCACCTCTTTCGCAGATAGTTTATGTACCTAAGCAATTGCTTTCAAGTAGCAGTAAAACAGCATAATAATAGGTAGACAATATTATCAACAATAGAAACATTAGTATCATTGTGTGTAAACAAACAGAGTGGCAAGGGACTCCAGATACAATTGTATGATACAAAGAACTAGTGAAGCATACATCAAGATCAATAGACATCTTAGCAAAACTTGGATACATTATAAGAAACCATTAGTTTTTATCTTTATTTGATAACCTTTTTAAACTCTTCCAGACAGCTGGACCTTGAGGATGCACATTCACAAAGTATTTTAGAAAGCGTTTATCATTGGATGCAACTATGGTACTCAAGGTTAATGTAGGATTTACTGCATTCCTCTCCTTCAGCCACGCATACATTGAAAGTCTTTCAACAATTTTGTCCAAATCATGGCAAAAGTATGTTGGGAATCCCACGAGACATTCTAGTGGGTAACCTAAAACATTTCTTAAGAAATCAATCTTCTTTTTAATTATAGATTTGTTCTGGTTTAGAATCATAGGAGCTCGTTTTATCATTTCTATCACACTGTTATAGTCCAAACCAGCTTCTACCAGACAATCAAACCTCTCTTGTAATTGATCACCTCTCCCTCGAAACATTTTCAATGCTTTTGCCATCTCTTCAGTGTTCTCAGTATATCCCAATTTCAGCAGGTAAGTCATTTTTTCCACATAATTACGTT